AATAAGTACATTGTACTTATTTTTTGATGTAAATACATAGTAGTTAAGGCCACCTAATATAAAGTGGGACCTTTTATTTAAAGTACTATATTGATAATAAAATCTACACAAACATTACCATTCAGAAGTTTGGAATGTGTACGATTTTTTTAAAAATAATGGTTATTAGGACTGCATTTATTTGATCGAAAATACAGCAAAAACTGTAACAGTAAACCTCAATGTGTGATATTAAGGATATTTTGGTTAGTTTATGTATAATACATATTTGGTTGCCATTTGACAATCTATGTCAATATAAACTGATCTTGAAGCAAAACAAGTTAAGAACCAGCTGCTTTAAATCTTGAACTGTTCACATGGCAATATGATGAACAACATATCTGCAGTGAGCTGTCAAAATAAGTTTGACATTAAACAAAAATAGCTTTGGAAAGGGAAACATGTTCCTGCAAATGCCAAACAAAACACAATGTGGGAATGTGGCTTTGATAAGGTAACTGTATACCTGTGTGTGTGTGTGTGTGTGTGTGAGAGAGAGAGAGTGAGAGAGAGGAAAATTTATCTTTAAACATAGCAAGCATTGTTGAGTGTGTGTGCATTAGAGTAACAAAGTTCTACTGTTTTCTGCTTCACACCTCACTGCACATTCCCTCCATCCCTCTACCTCTCCCTCGATCATTTTCCTCTGTTGCTTTATTTGGTTTTCCATCCATCTTTGAGCCTCTTTGTGCCCTTCTTCCTCACTGTTCCACTCACAGATTTCCCACGTTTTCCACATTCATACATTTCTCTCATTACATGCCATTATATTCATTCTGTATTTACTATATCTCCCTCAAAATAGTATATATTTCCCTGTATGGAAATTTCTGACTCATTGAGCACCAAATGTGAGTAAAATTGTCTTTGGTGAGTAAACAAGTGTATAGTTTCGTAAAAATGTTTACAATACCGTTCTAAAGTTTGGAGTTGTTTTTGAAAATAGTCTCATATTTATGTTTTCAACAATACAGTAAAAACAGTACATTTGTGAAATATAAAAATGTACTGTTTTCTGATATTTTATTTATTCCTGTCATAGCAAAGACAAATTTTCAGCAGCCATTACTCCAGTCTATATACGCCCGTCCCTGTTGTTTTCCAAACATGAAATGTTTCAGATGTTCAGCAGCAGATTATAGTCCATAAATTCAAAGGAAACTTAGGTAAAGCGAAAGAGCTTGTCTATATGTCTGTATGTACAACCAGTTCAGCTTTTTTTTTTTTTTTTCATTTGAGACATAATGTGTATTATGTGTGAAATCCTCTCTGTGCCATTTGGCACCAGCAGGGGTTGATTAGTAATGAGGCTGTAGTTGTGACAGAGAGCCAAACCTGCTTTGATCGCAGCTAATCCAGGTCAGGCAGAATTGACCTGTATGTGCTTGTGCGTTAGTTAATTTGGCTGTCTTTAGGTTTGTTTGAGTATTTTTACATTGAGTACAGTCTTTCCACACACATAAACACAAAAGGCCAGAGGTGTTTGGATCTGAACCAGGATACATTTTAAAAAATCAATGTGTACAATTTATGCAGTTTGCATACCATTTTTTTCCCTGTATGCAACTCTGTAGGGTGTTTAAGCAGTAATGCTCTGTTCAGTTGCCTGGTCTGAACCTGAGCTCAGTATCAATTTGGCTCAAAACTGTGGTACATTTGTTTCATCAGTGTAGTTACTAGCAGCATTTGTTTTCTACAGTAGCAAAATAACAGGATGAGAAGGTCGCAATGATTAACTTTTTTTTTAAATTTTGGTTTGTTTGGTTTCTACCAAAACACCCTCAGGACGCCACAGCAAGAGAATATGAGCTGCTCTCTGAAGGTAATTTCTGCAGAGACAACCAGTAATGAAAAACTGATTCACAATGCCGCTTGCAGAGCATCATTACAGAGCTCAAATGTGATTTCAGGGAACTGAGTTATGGAAGCATTTTCCTCATTATTGTTCTCCATAGGCATGAAAGAAAATTTCTGAATAAAGAGCCCTAAGCCTTGAACCAAAGCAACTGAATGATGAATCACAATACATCATTCAAAATTAAAAGTATATATAAGAAAATCTAAAGATAAGACAAGGTTCAAAACTATGAATGAACTACTCCATCCCATAGAAAATGAATAATGTAATGAAATTAGTCTAGGATAACTGATTTTGTAGTCTAACACTACCACGTCCCATGTTAACCTAATTTGGCTATTGTTACCTAGTTAGTACTAATTAATTTGCAAAAACTCATCACAAGTTTGCAAAGGTTCTTTTTTAATAGTAAAAGGTTTCAAAAGGTGTATTGGCAGTTGATGCATAACATATTGTGCTTTTTAATCCAACATTACAAATTTAGGTTATCATGCATGAATAATACATATGAATATTAAAATATATTAAAATGTATATGGAAAAGTGCATTATATTTTTTTACATTTTATTCACATTTTTACCTTCACTAACTGTCCTGTGGTGTGTGAAAATTATTTAGCACAAATATTCCATGTAGACTCATTTATTAAGAGTTCATATAATGTTATGTAAAATATATATACTGCAACTTTATGAATTCTTATTATTATAATACTCACACACTTTAGAACACTAGGGTTACTGCAGACAGTTCACTAAAAGAACTTTCGTGAATAGTGTATATGAGATGTCAATGTTTAAGACGTCATATATACTGTATATATACAAAAAGTCATTGTTTTGAGATATATTATCTAATAATATATTCTCTGTCTTACCTGTAGCAATATTTTATTCCCGTCATAATCATTTGTTTGCCAGCGGACGTCGCTGATAGGCGTGCAGGGACATGGCAGCAGTGGCACAAGTTCACCGACATCCCTCACTCTGATCTCCATCACAGTATTTTCAGTGGGAACGGGGTTCTGGCCATGGGGCATCCGCTTGAATGACAGCTGGATTTCTGTTTCAGGGTTGGAGTAAACTACACAGAAGCAGAAATCCTCCTTCTTCTGGGCTAGCCTTCGGCGCAGGAGCAGTCTGTACAGACGCACCTGTTCGGTGTAGGTCTCGTATGATATTTTATTTATTCCTGTCATAGCAAAGACAAATTTTCAGCAGCCATTACTCCAGTCTATATACGCCCGTCCCTGTTGTTTTCCAAACATGAAATGTTTCAGATGTTCAGCAGCAGATTATAGTCCATAAATTCAAAGGAAACTTAGGTAAAGCGAAAGAGCTTGTCTATATGTCTGTATGTACAACCAGTTCAGCTTTTTTTTTTTTTTTTTATTTGAGACATAATGTGTATTATGTGTGAAATCCTCTCTGTGCCATTTGGCACCAGCAGGGGTTGATTAGTAATGAGGCTGTACCTGTGACAGAAAAACAGACCGACATCCCTCACTCTGATCTCCATCACAGTATTTTCAGTGGGAACGGGGTTCTGGCCATGGGGCATCCGCTTGAATGACAGCTGGATTTCTGTTTCAGGGTTGGAGTAAACTACACAGAAGCAGAAATCCTCCTTCTTCTGGGCTAGCCTTCGGCGCAGGAGCAGTCTGTACAGACGCACCTGTTCGGTGTAGGTCTCGTAGCGGCAATAGACTGTAAAGCGCACAATTTCTTTGCCGTAGTGCACCTGGCGAAGCGCCCATAGTGGTGTGCCTGGTGCAAGTGTAACAAAGTCCTGGCTGGCTCCAGAAAATGGTAAGAGGCCTCGCCCGTTCACCCGCTCTGTGTGGTGGTATCGCCACGGTGGGCATCTCAGCTGATTGTGGAGACGTTCAAGACTCTCTTCACCTCCATATTCATCCTGTAGAAACAGGATTACAGCCAAGGCTGGCTGGTGCGATGGTGGTTCGGTGACGCGCTGCAGGCAGACCTGGGGTTTTCGAGAGAGACCACCTGCCCGTTCTGACACCCTGAAGAGGGTGAGATCAGGGTGGAGCCAGGAGAGGACCTGATCAGCGGCTTGCTGGAGCGTTTTGGCCTGACCGGGGTCAGTGATGATGTGGATAGAAACTAGGAAAGGATCTTGTAGGTCCCCCATGGACAAATCACCTAAAAAATGAGAAAATTATCCATAAAAGTATGGAGCTATACTGATTTAATATCATATATTACAATATGTTAATTATAGTTGTGATAAAACAGAAGTAGCAAGAAGATCTCTTCTTCGTTTTAGTGAAAAATATAAAAGTGAAACAGATTATCAAAATAGAAAAAAATGTATGGTTGGGATGGGATTGGATGGAGGGAGATCTGAACGCAAGCTTGTGGTGGATTGTAAGAAAGGGGTGGAAGAGCTGGCTTAATGAGTGGAGAAGTCCGGATATGTTACAAGAGAGAAGTTTCACAGGAAAATAAAGTTCTACATTCTAGTAAAAAACAAACACACTTAGTTCTACCCTTTATTTGTATTAGGTGTATTAGTGTGTTACATGTTCTGCTTTATTCTGGCTTCAGGAGTCACTGGAAACCTACTTTGCTTTGAACGTCTATAAAGGAAAGAGCAGTACGAAATAGAGGAAATGGATTGGCTCTCAAGACTGAATGAAATCTTTTCATCCATGCGCTCCTGTTCTGTAATCAGGCTGTATAATGAACAGTGCAGCCTCATTAGTTGCATTAGTGGATGGTTAGTAACCCTGGAGAAATGCTTTGGCTCCCTGTAGGACTTCTGAATAAGGTTTGCCCTTCCACTGAACCTTTGACCATAGTGAGTGCACACACACACACACACACGCACAAATATCCCTGAGCACAAAAGTACATGGAAAAAACCCCTTAACAAAGTGTTCAAGGCAAATGTGACGTTTTATGACTGCAAAATGAGATCAACGAGAGCAGCAATTAAAGAATTTCATAAATGACTGTATTTATATGACGTGTGAAAACACATGATGTCTCTACATTATATGAGTAATGCTGCACAACATAACAAGCCCTTCAAACCCCCTCTTTGATATATTCATCTCTCTGCCATAATCTAGCGACAACAGCAGCAAAAATCTTTGTGTTGTTATTATATTATAAGAAATATTATGCAGCTATTCTCATTCTCAAAAAACAAACAAACAAATAAAACAAATATAGCAGAAAGTGGCAGAACATGGACAGCTGCCTCTTTCTTTTCGCCTACTCTTTTCTTTTCACCCCAAACTCTCCTGACTCATGGGACCCGTCCCACTTTGTTTGTTGTTTAAGGTTGGTGGCACCAGAGGCCGAGGGAACGTTATGCTCTTACACACTTACACACAAAACACACTCACGCAAGTAAACACTCTTCTCTAGTTGCACTGCACTCTTGTAGGTGTAACTGACGCACATCTGAGTTCATTAAAGGATCCTTTCAATCGATCAGTGTGGAAAAACCAAGCAGTGTGTTCACTGGGCAAAGGTACACTCTAAAAAATGCTGGGTTGTTTCAACCCAACTTTGGGTCAAATATGGACTAACCCAACATTGGGTTAAATTTTTACATTAAATTTTTAACCCAAAAGTTGGGTTAGTCCATATTTGACCCAAAGTTGGGTTGAAACAACCCAGCATTTTTTAGAGTGTACTTGTTCAGACTTAAAAACACACAATACATTCTCGATTGTACAGTATTACATATGCAGACAGCCTTACAATAGACCTAATGTGATCCAGTTATTAATGTTTTAATTACCAAAAGATTTCAGCTGGAAGAAATTAAATGTGAATGTTAGGGCACTTTGCCCCGCAGACACATGGTTTATTCAAACACTGTTTACAGGACTCTATTTATAGGAAACAGCATAATTTGAATTTTTACTGATGCAATTATGAGGAGAAACCACAGATACTGAACTTAATCACATTATTTGATAAATTTCAACATTAAATAAGACACCATATTTAGCCCCAGCTTAACCATCCCTAATATACACTCCTATCTGGTGTCATTCTAACACTGTAAAAACCTGCAATTGTTACTTTAAGTGGCTATTTCTCTCTGATCTAACGATTTGTTGGTGTGACATAATGGTTTTAGGTTGATTTTTGACTTAAAATTTATTTAAATGTTACCACATGAAGCACATTTTTTTCAGTGTAGTAAAGTGTCCAGAGTTATAAAGAGGCGAAACAGATTTCACAGAATATGCACTTGAGTTGTTAGTGAACAAAGATATATAGAGGAAAGTATGGATACAGAGAAAATCTGATGAGCTGCAGAAGTGGCGAAATGCTGACATGACTGATGATGCAGCATTAAGCAGTTATTCATGGCAGCCTTTCAAGAAAGCATACTGTCATACCATTAAAAAAGAGACAGAATGCAGAAACAATAAGGGGAAATGTGGTGGAAAAAGTGAAAAACAGATCTCTCATCCATGCAAAGGTGCTCAGACAAAGAAAAGACAATGGAATATAAAATAAGACAGTATAAATTCGAAAGAACTCCCTTTCTAGACAATACCACCTTCATGTCTATAAGCAGGATAAAATAAAAATACATATTATTCAATAAATACATTTATTTTGTTTCAAAATTGTTGAATATTCTACTGTAAATTGCACCCTGGTCCCTGTCATCACATTTTTTTTTTTCATATGTGAGAACAGATGAAACAAATGCTAATTTAAGCATTTAATTCTTCTCCAGCCCCACTAGTTCTCCACAACTCACATTATTCCTCAAACCATCTCATTCTGTTTTCTACATTTTCTGTCCCTGAGTCCACATTGAACCACTTTTCTTCATTCAATAAATTATACACAGTCTAGTATGTGGTGTCCTTGATGGGCTCTAAGTTTTAGTGTGTGTGTGTGTGTGTGTGTGTGAGTAGCTGAGTGTGTCTAAATGTGAGTGGGTGAGTGAGAGAGTGCTTCCTGCACTGTCACTGGGAGGAGTGTTTCCTGCTCCCCAGATTAATGGGCTAATATTGGACATTAATCCCTCCATAGGGAAACAGACTGGGCCCGACGCAGCCACGGGGAAAGGTCAGCCCCAGACACACACACAAGCAGGCACTCACACACAAACAAGCGGAGGTGTTAGAGCTCTCGAAGCACTTCAAGCAGTGATTCCCTGAACAAACTAATCTCACTGTCATGGCAACAATTGTCAAGTGTTTTAACTGACAGAAATCTTCCACTTCTAAATTGTAATGTTCTTTTCAAAATACAAATGAATCCAAAAGCAGCTTTAGAAAGAATAGTCTCTTATAAACCCCCCAATGAGCACAAGGTGGAAGAGGAAAAGGGATTTAAAGGACATAACATATGGCGAATATGTGTTTGATTAAGGCATGTTTTGTTGGAAAATTGATCTGAACTGCATAAAGGGGAATATAAAAAACAAATGGCATGTACTCACTGCTTGCTGATGACATAAGACTGTAGTCAGACCTGAGAAGAGAGTGAATGACAGAAAGGGGAGAGAGAAACAGAGAAAGACTTTTGTTAGAGAGATTTAGGATCCCAAGGTTTCAAAGGAAGGTCCTACATCTGGATAAACAATCCTGGGTGTCATGGTATATAGTGTGTGTGTGTTAGTGTGTAGTAATGTCTTTAGTGTATTACGCACATATATATGTATAGGTTATGATCAAAGATTGTGTCTTGCTGCTTTGTGTCAGAAACCTTCTATTCTCTCAGCTCATCGGTTGATGAGGAAGGTAAAAAACAAAGTATAAGACCTATTTGACATATTTCATATGTCTTACATAGTGACCTAGTCATTTTGTTTTCATTGTACATGCTTTTTTCCCCTTTTATCGCCCTCTGGTCAATCTTTTTCCCTTTCCTCTCCCTCTGTCTTTTTCCTGTTTCTCTGGTAGTGAAAACAGTGTAACAGGGTATTAAATTCTTTTTAAGAACAGGGAAATTCCATGTAGTTAAACTTGAATTTTGAATGTTCTAATTTAATGCTGTAATAGTATGGTCTGAACTGGTATGTGGTGCATTGGTTCAACACTTCTGTTTACAAGTTTGGGATCAGTAATATTTATTTATTTTTGGAAAACTTTTATTCAGCAAAGACACACCTTAAATTGATAAAAAAGTGACGCTAAAGGCAACTGTAATGTTACAACTGATTTCTATTTCAAATAAATGCTGTTCATTTCAACTTATCAAAGAATCTTGAATGAATCAAGTTTTCTACAAATATATAAAGAAGCACAACCCCGAACTTTTGAACAGAGTGTAAATACTATGGTCTATACTTTGCATTTAACAGCAAAAGCACTTTTATGTGCTTCTATGTAATACTTAATACAAATAAAATCATTACGACAGTCTATAAATGTGGTCAGTAATGTCATTACAGTGAATCTCATATGTTTTATGTTTGCTATTCCTGAATCAGTGAGGGCTGTATAGTTTTCTGCATGTTGTTCACACTTAAACAATGCACTCTCAAGCATCATTAGAAAACATCCTTTTTGAAAGTCTCTGATTTACTGCCATCAGTGAAGTTTACAGTTACTGTTGTTAAATGAACTAAATGAGGATATAAGCCACACACATCTCTTAGCTCTCATTTAGCACCAAGACAGCCACATCACAACCAAATCGGACATTTACAATATTTTTTTCTTTTTTTTTTTTAAACAGTTATCGTAAGTGGCTAATCGAATACGCTTGGAAGATATTCAATATATTTACATAGGAACAATAAGTCCTACATATTAAAATTACAGGATCAACACATAACACATTTTTGGGTCAGATGAATTTCTAAGATGGTTTTGTACATTTTGAAGTCAAGTTTAAAGGTACTAGATGATGTATCTTAGTGGTTACATGTGGTCAGATTACAGGTTGTAGTTCAAACTCAACAAGGGATAAGCTATCACCATTTGAGCTTACACCCCAGGTTGCTCAAGGTTTTACTGTAAGTGGCTTTGGATAAATGCATCAGCTAATTGAAGAGTTAGTCATTAAGCTGATGATACACTGGGCACATTTTTGAGCAATGTTGCTGGGCAACTTTGGGAAATGTTGCCATCAATGGGCAACAAGGTGAGACAAAGAGCCCACGACCGATCTAAAATATCCAGATAGAAATATGTTACCCATTCTTAATGGAAAAGTGCCCAAGCAACATTGCTCAAAAAAAGTTGCCCCATGTATCATCAGCCTTAGAAAGGTACCAAGGCCATTTTCTTCAGAACAAATGTAAAGAAATAATATTCCAAAGCAGATATACAGATATATGCCATACAAACAGGTGGTTGAGGATAGAGAGGGTAGTCTACTATCCTACTAAATCACCATACCTACACCAACAAGACAGGACAGCCATTATGATATGACATACCTATAAACAAACCAGGATGCATCTTTTCATCGTTCACAGCTGAAATCACAGAATGATGGTACAGATCATACATGACTTTGAGATAATAGAGAGTTAAATCTATGTGATTAGTATATTGGCTACTTCTGTCACTCTCTTGTGCTAAAAAGCCTAAGCAGCATGCACTAATAGCTCAGCTCGTTGGCTTTCCAGCTACTTTTCAGCAGTAAATCTCTGCGCCAGATGTCTTGGGTGTTAATACCAAACAACAGATGGTTAAATAAAACGGGCCAAACGAGGTAGAAACCAAACGAGAAAACTTCAAACAAGCGCGCTGTCTAATGGTTTTTGATGACCTGTCCTACGCTGCTCAGGTATCAGAATCCTCACCAAATGATTCATTTTAAATGAATCAGATTCTTATTAGCGCGTTGATATTGGTAGCATATTGGTGTCTATCCTAATTAGTGCATTATAGCTATATTCCATATTCTATGTAGCCTATTTCATTTTCTTTGTTAAAACAAGACTGTTTATCATTACTCACCCTCCGGTCTCCGCTCCCGAGTCAGCGCACTCATCTTCAACTGAATTCTTCATCTCTGGTGAAAGTGACAGTAACTTCACATGCCTCCCGTTTTCTCTTCTGCACTTTAACGCTCACGTACACTGCAAGAAACGAAGGCGACGAAACCCGTTAAAGCTTGGATGAACAACCGACTCCAGTAACGGTGACAGGCACAGGTCATAGTGACAAGACACGCGAGTATGGCAAGCCGTATTACCTTAAAATATCCCCTGCGTTACTCGTCGTAATTGCATTTTTACTAGTAACAATTCAATTAGAGAGCTCTACAATTAAATTCTTACTAGTAACAATGCCAATTAGAGAGCTCTCTAAATCAATTCTTACTAGTAACAATTATAATTAGAGAGCTCTCTAATTCAGTTATTACTAGTAAGAATTCCAATTACAGAGCTCTCTAATTCAATTCTTACTAGTAACAATTCCAATTAAAGAGCCTCTAATTGAATTAGA